TAAAATAACAAAGTTGATGGCTACTTCCGGTATTTCCGGAAGCGGCGCAATCTTGAAAATATTTTAGTTCAATTCATCATGTACCAAGACCCTTAAAGAACTTATCAGTTTACTTTCATTTTCAATGGTTTTCCTATCTTTCTAACTGACGCTCGTCAAGAATGACCCTGTATACAATGGTACTACGTATGACTGTGGCCTGTGATCGTATAAAAATATCATTTTAAATTTAACGTATCATCATTTATTTTGTTATACAAAATACGCGAATATATTATCATACAAAAAGACGTACCTCAAGAATCTGTCTTGGGACCTGTTATGTTTATTATTTACCTATTGATGTGAATCACATATAGGGCATGTGTTCAAGAACACTACTGTAGTATGTATCTTCTCCTCCTTTTTGCGTATAGTTGGGGGTGGTTCTTATTATGTGATTATATTAATATATACTTCGGTTGCTCATCGCCTACTAACGCTCTTCTGACCACTTAAGGAAAAGGTAAAAGGATAAATAATAACCCAATCTTATTTAATTATGAAATGGTTTTTATTTGCTTATGTTGCCATTTAAATAAAAATCTTAACCTAATATGGGAAATAATTTCAAATGGACGCGTTTCATTTTTCATGTCTATATTCCAAACGTTTTAAACGCGAGAGCTTTGGTTGCATCGTTAATAGCGACCCTGTATATAGCATATCGTTGAATAATTCGCTAATTCAAATATATAACTAGGCAAACGACGACGAAAAATGGCAAAAGTACAATGCCAAAGAACAAATATTCATAAATAAGGCGATCTCTCGATACTTTTCGATTGCTGCTTCGATGTAGAATGGCTTGGATCCGCCTCTGTTAAAAGCACACGGAGCGACACGACTCATGAACGTGGCTTCTCGTGGAAATCTTCACGCCCTCGGCTCTACGGAGATGATATTTGGTTCTCGTTGCTTGGTTCGTTTGTTCTTCCGAAACAACCTTGGTGGATGACTTAGCTCTGCGATGATGACTGGCGCAGATTCGGCGTCTGAGGCTGCCCGTTACCCAATACTGATTTCCCAGTATTTACATTTATAATTATACGTACCTATCACTCTAGTAGAATATTAGCCAATCTTTATCTTACTATGACGAATCGTTTAAATACCTAACTCGCTCTAGTCCAAGCTTTTTTAACATTCTCCAGGCTTTCATTTTAATCACAATGACCCGATTCGTTCACCTTACTCCGAATATACACTCGTATAGCAGTATTTAGGATCTTATTCTATTAACTATATCCTTTTAGGTTGCTTACGGGTAAATAAAATACCACTTGGGTTATGAATTAATGAAATAATCAATTGCGTCCCTCAAATTTCTGTGTAGAGTAACCCCGTTACATACTGCACGTGCGGTTAAGTTTCTTGGGGTTCGAAAACATTTAATACACCAAAAACGTATCATCGTTCTTAGTTACTCGGGAGATCGGTCAAACTGGTAATCCCCATACGTGGTGGCACAAATGTTAAGGTGAGAATACCGACTTTGTAACTTAGTGGTAGAGCTTTGGGCTACATAGCCGGAGGTTGGGTGTTCGAACCTGGGTTGAGGTAAGAATGTTTCATCTGTGGCAGAGATGGGAATGTGCATATATCAGTTTCCAGCATTCTGTCGGCTATTCCGAATTAGGTTTTCCTGCAGTTTTTCTGATTCGTAAGGTAAATACCGGAGTAGTATAGAACAACTTTCTGCAGGGGTACCTCTAAAAAGCATTATGCGGGTCACTCTCGTTGCGCGAAAGCTTATTGCGGGCCCAGAACAAGAGGGACAGTAAATAAATATATAAAGTGGTTTTGGCCCAAAAAGGAAGAAGAAGAAAACGAACATTTTTGCTACGTCGCGCAGCTCTATACGATGAAAAAAAGAGATTTATCATCCCCCTAAAAAATGGTGTTTTTTTTAAAATTGTGAATATCTCGGAAATGTCTTTAACTATACAGGCCCATTGTCTCCTTTTTTATCATACAACAAGCTATGTTTACTCCAAATTTCAGATCATTTTGCCTTTTTACAGAAATAAGTATAGAAAACCAAAAAAACAGTTTTTCCGTTTTTTTTTTCGGAAAAGTTGAGGTTATGTGAAGTAAGTGCAAATGCAAAAGTTGTTAATTTTTTTATTCCTTACAACAACGAAGTTGATCTCTTACAAAAATCACAAATTTTTTCAATAATAAAAAACGATTCTGCAAATAAAAAAAGGCACTTAGGGCCAGAGACCACGCAACACAGGCGATTGATCGAAACGGGTTAAAGAAAACCTTAATTACATTTAAATTCAACATTATTACGTTTATAGGAGAAGAATAAAGACTTATTATTATTATCCACAATCCAAAAATCCAGTCTTACACTCCAATTCCCAATTCACACGCGCACAAACAACACAAACACTAAACTGATTCTTTTCAGGAAACCCAATTTCTTTGTTTCGTAACACTTAACTTCTTTATAACGCAAACCAAACTCGACTATTTTCTTTCACTGCGATGTATTGATAATAATAGCTATCTATTATACAAGACGATAATAGCTATTTATTTCATAAGGATATTACCGTTGCCATAATTCACGTGGATGTTATACGAAAAAGAGTAGGTATGTACCGTGAGTTCTGTATCTGGCGTGAGGCGCGTGGAGCAAAAGGAGCTTCAGAACCTATTTTGCTTGCGTACTTTTAAGACCAAGGTGAGTACTTAATTTGGAACTTTCCTTTTCGATCTAGTCCTTGTTATACCTGTATTGTTACAACATTGTAGGCGGAAAAATATGCACCATCTACGTTATGGACTCACTACTCGTAAATTCGTAAATCTATAAGGATCCGAGTTACAGTTTCTATAGCGCTATAGATTTAACGGTTTTATAAGCTTACAGATCGAAAACACGGAATTGCATAATTAGCCGCTTTCTTCCATACAGGTTACGTTAATATTAGAACTCTTGTATTATGGTAACTATGATATTATGAAGGGTAACTATGCTATTATGAGAATTTGTTATTTTGGGGTACTTTTCACGCAAGTTCACTAATAAATTAAGTACGCAATAAATGTCATGTTTCGATAAAGGAATATTTTAACCATTGAGTAATAGTACATTATATATCAAGGTAGAGAAGTCCAGTATTATTGCCTGAGCACCAAGATTACATCTCGAGGCGCTTGCGCCGAGGGGTGTAAGGTGCGAAGGCAATAAGAGACTTCTCTACCGTGGTATATATACTATTTTTTTCACTACTAGCACTTGAAATCCTCTAAATTAACATATTATATTGATAAGAGAGTTAACGGTTGGACAGAATTTTTGTTTATTAATTTAACATGTCAATCAAGTACGTGGAAGTACAAGTCAAATAGGCCGTATTTTGTTCTGTCATTGAGATTTTTCAAAGAGTAATTTCGTTCGAATTTTTTCAAAATGTGATAATTTTAGGTATGTAATTTCTCTGGAAATTGCGAATGGTGGCAATTATTCGTTTTAGAGAACTTGTCTAAACGTTCATTGAGCGAAATTTCGGGTTGTGTTTTCTAAAAGTGACAGCGTGACAGTTCTCATTATTGACTACTAGTTAATAATAAAAAATTATTAACCACTTTGAACAAATGCCGAGAAAGCCTACTTTACAAGTGGAAAAAAGGTTAATAATCATGTCATCAGACGCTAGTAGTGAAAAAAATAACTTACACGAGATGGTGAGTTTCCCTTTATCATCGTGTATAATACAAAAACTTTATGTTATAGCAGAAGTCGTATAAATCATGGTAAATCTTGACAGTTCTAAATTTAATTAAGACGTCAAAAATAGCAAGCTTAGGTTCTACCGTCGCGGTCGTTTCCATAGAAACACCATTGTCATAATATGTTCTGAACGTCGACCCTCACGGGTAAAGAGACACTTAGCACTCATTCAAACCTATTAAAATGTCAATTGAACCCCCACAACCTTCCCATGTTCAAAAGTGTACTTGGCACCACTAAAGGCAGGCGTATGCTGAATTTGGAACCAATTGGTTGTCGCATGTATAATTTGTGCACGTTTTACTTTCAAAAACAGTATCTCAGGAAATAATCATAACCCCCCCCCCCCTTTGAATCTGCGGCAAGTAAGGAAATACAGTTCAATTATAGAACAGAACCATATTTTTATACCTTTCGCAGTAGAGACATTGGGACCTTGGTGTAGACAAGCTCGTAATTTTGTGGAATATCTGGGAAAATGCATTATCAATATTACTGGGGAACCCCGAGCTACCACTTACTTACGACAAACCATAAGTATTGCCGTACAACGTGGCAACGCGGCCAGTGTAATTGGGACGCTTCCAACTACGATCTCCAGAGGAGAAATGTATTATTTATTATGAATTTTTAATTTGTTTAAATAAAATTGATTAATTATTTATTTTAAAAAATTTAAAAAAAATAACAGTTACCTATGTATTAAAACTTTCACGGCACCTGTACTTGTGGCACTCATTTTGAGAACCGCTGACCTAGAGGAACCGGCATCAACTGTTGAAATTTTCTCGATGCAGCCACTGTCACACATTTTTGAAGACTCAAATGTGGAATTTTATCTCTAGTGGAGACGTAAGTGTTGCAGTTATTTTTGTATAAGGTGAAGTAGTTCGAATAGGGATCTGGTGAGCGATGTCCTTTGTACATGGGAAACTTTTGTTTAATTGCTGCTAGTAATTGGTTACTTCATCTGTCCTTATAGTAACGACTGATAAATAATTAGCTATTGTTCTTTTATTCTTTAAACCTGCAAATGATGTGCGGTCTAAGCTGTTTTTTGAAACCTTTGCGGCAAGTTTTGCAATAATTATAAATTATAATCATGTGTAGTATGATAATACTCAATTAATGACCGCGCTTTTTCCCTAATTCCATATTAATAAAACTATTTAAGCAAGCAGTTCACTTACCAATCTCTCTATTTGCTACTAGAATGAAAGGTACAATTTGCATCTTAGAGAAGAGGCTTCTTCAATACAGCGCCGCTACTACTGGTAAGTGCTCATTGCACTGCGTTTATGTCACTCCGCAAATGCTCGCTAGGTTTATTGGCGGCTTTCAGTAGCGGATTGAACTTAGGATGGACGTCTCCATATTTGCCCACCCTTCTAAGTGAGGCCTCCCCTATCACAATGACCGCAGATCAATCGTATTGGGTGGTAACCTCTTACCTGTTGTCAGGATTATGTGGCAGTATTTTGCTCAGCATCGTTGGGCGGAAAATTGGAAGAAAGACGATTTTATTATGGTCTAGTGTGCCATTCTGTACAGCGTGGACGGTAATAGCTTTTGCAAGTACTCTACCAATACTTTTAATTGGTAGAATAATAATAGGCCTGGCCCAAGGTTTAGTATTCGCAACTCTGCCCATGTATTTAAGTGAAATCTCCGATAAAGAAATACGAGGGTTTTTATGTTCCTTAATATCCGTTTTTCTTTTTTTGGGAGCGATGGTAATCAATGTGATTGGAACGTATATGACTATCAAAATTTCCTCGTTGATTTGTCTAATAATACCTGTTCTCCAATTCGTAACCTTTTTTTGGATGCCAGAATCGCCGAATTACTTACTGATGAAAGGTAAACGTGAAGAAGCACGGCAAGCGCTTATTGCATTAAAAGGATCGGATGAAGCAGATCGCAGCTTGGACGTGATCGTAGAAGTTATAGAAGAAAACAGGTTAAATAAAACTGGCTTCATCTCGATATTTGAGAAAAATAACCGATCAAAGTTGGTAACCTTGTTAGGACTACGCGTAGCCCAGCAGTTTTGTGGTGTGATAGCTTTTAATATATTCGCACAAACTATTTTTCAGGAAAGTGCCGATTCCATTTCGCCTCTATTGGGAACAGTCATTTTGTATACAGTACAAATAGTGTTTTCTGTACTAAGTTCACTATCAGTAGATAAACTCGGCAGAAGGCCTTTATTGATAGTATCTGCAATTGGAACGATATGTGTTTTACTTGCAGGAGGGGCATTCTTTTTTATTCGAGACGTGATCAAAGCTGACACCTCACACGTTTCATTCGCACCGGCGCTTATTTTGATCCTATTCACATTCTGCTACAGTTTAGGTTTACAAACCATGCCCAATTTTATGGCGGCCGAGCTGTATCCTACGAACTTGAAGCCATACGCCTGCACAATCGGCGATGTAATGTTTTACTCATTCTCGGCCATTGTATCCCAATACTTCCAATTTACCAAAGATAACTACGGCCTCTTCGTTCCTTTCTGGACCTTTGCCGTCTGTTCCATCATTGGATTGGTAATAATTGTAAAATTTATGCCTGAAACTAAAAACAAAACATTGGAGGATATACAAAAAGAATTAAGTAGTAAATAAAAAATGATTTCCGCACGATGCATTTTGTTAAAACCTAATACCTTCCCTTTATTATATTTACTTCTGAAGCACCGCTTCGCTTTTTATCGAACCAAGTACTATGCGATCAAAAATAAGGTGCTGTCGAGTCGCCTTTGGAATTTTTGTTTACGTGTGAAATTGAACTTCCAAAGGCGACTCTACAGCAACTCATTTTTGATCGCTCGTGATCTAAGCTACAAATAGAAATTTACTTCTACACACACAGCTTTAGACGTGTTTAATATAATATTATATAATTAATATAAATTTTTATCAAGTAAGCGTTGAAATAATTGGTTGCTTGTGTTAAAAAAATTGCGTCTGATACAAGTGAATAAGTGCATAGGTAAGCAAGGAAGCAAGTCTGTGAGTGTATTTAACTTTGTGGTAATTCGAAAACAATAATGGCTTAATGGCAAATTGTTTCGACTTTTTTTTTTAAAATGGCGAATCTGCGTTCACAACAGCAAGTCTGTTTAATGAAAAACATGCAGATAAGCATGTTCATCGTATGTCACAGATTTAATAAACCAGTTACCCAATTTTTGACAAACATCTTCCTAGCTCAAAGCAAATTATTACAAAAAAAACATTTTTTTGACAGTCTTACATCTTTTATGCCTAATATACACTGCCAAAAATCATATTAATTTGCTGTATGTGCCGTTTTATTGCTAAACATTGAAATATTCGTACATAGTTACAAATTCAAATTGCTTTGTTTTGGATTCCTTCTATTGTTTTTGTCTTTCGTGTGCTCTCTTTTAAGAAATGATTTTGCAATTGTTTTCCTTAAAACTGTAATTGCAAAAACATCGGTTTTTGTCAAATCACCGAAATTAAGCAACGTCGGGCGCGGTCAGTATTTGAGTGGGTGACTACTTGGAAACACCTCTGATTAAAAATTAATTTTATCACTCATTGTATTCTAATTAAAGGTCTCAACGAAAGGAACCATTTTCTAGCAACTACTGCCCTTCTTTCTGTCCTCTTATCAAAGTACGGGGTGGAGGGGGAGGGGGGTGGAACTAGTTTTGTTCTTCATGGTACTCTAATGAAAGGAAAGGAATATAATCTCTACCAACCATAGCGCCCCTCCTCGACCTCTTATCGTGATCGAGTATATTTCCTTATTCCTCAAGAACGGATTGTCAGAAGAGGGTACTCACAAAGGGCGATTGAGACATCTGCAAGAAATATATCCATTGGTGATGTCAAAACAAAAGCTTTCGGTTAAAAAAATGCGCTTTATCTGCACAAACGTTGTGCATAATTTATACTTGTTTTATTTTTGTTTATGTTTATCTATTGATTTTATTTATTTTTAGCTTCCTAGCTCGAACTTTCGACTCGACTTTTTAGATAATTTTAAACAACTTTTAAGGAATAAAAATTTTCCCGTTTTGAGTGTATGTGCGTACGTTGGCAGTTTTCCGAGGTATTAACGGCTCGGCGGATTTTGTTCAAATTTTGGATATGTGTATTAGGCATACGGAAACGAAAAATAACGAACCGGATTTTTTCAAATAGTCACCCACTTATTAACGAACCAAGTTTTGAAGTGGTTACCCATTAAAATTAAGTATTAACCGGGAGCAACGGTGCTTGACTGTAGGCAATAAATTAATTATTATAATAGTATTCATAATAAACACAAACACAAAAGTAAAAAAAAATTGCTAGAAGTCGTTACACAACAACATGGAGTATTTAGGAAAAAATTATCAACTATCGCGATCTACTTAGAATTATTAATTTAAGGGGTAAACTTTGTTTTTGTCCAAGTATAACAATCGAATTTCGAATAAACAAAAATATATATTGGTTCGAATAGGAATCTGGTGGGCAATGTACTTTGTACATGGGAAACTTTTGCCTAATTACTGATAGTAATTGGGTACATCATCTGTCCCTTTCTAACAGCTGATCAATAATTAGCTATTGTTCTTTTATTTTTTAAACCTACAGATGATGGGCGGTCTAAACTGTTTTTTAAAACCGTTTTCGTATCATTGATAATTACAATTTTCAGTATAATTATGTACGTTATAATACGTTAGTTACTCATAATCCGTTAGTTACCAAAACAATAGTATATTTAGCTATTTATGTGCATGAATTTCGATATTGTGCCATTGTTTAAAATTTATTTTTACACCATTAGCTTCCATGGTCGTTTGTTCTTTTTTATTTATTCCTGATGATCCAACACGTGTTACATTCAAATTTACATTACTTGATCCTTTTCAACTGCCTGAATCTACTGTTCCATACCCAAAATTTACCTTTTTAGTGATACCTACTGGCTTCTATGTCGCCTCTAGCGAACTTGCTTGACTCCCAGCCTCACAAGTTCTTGAAGATCCAATATATCGCCGTCGGCAATTTGCTAGGAAAGTTGCGGAAGATCTAGGTATACAATGGCTAGTAAACATTGCAGGATAGGATTTTCAAGATTAAAATACGTAGCAATATTTGAAAAGTAACCGCAGGTCTGAATAGTACATTTTATACATGTTATTTATTGCCGTTGTCAAATGGGTGCGTTCACCAGACGACGCGCTTCATACGCTACCTAAAGGCCAACATACTCTAGCAAGAGTTCTCGAGGGGAGCGGGTCCTCTAGTGAAACAGCCACCGAGGTTCGACAAAGCGTATATAATTTTGGAAATAAACTCAAAATGATATAAAAATACAAGCTTTGTGGATCCTCAGGCACTGACAGGTACAAAAACGCTTGTCTTCAGAATTCGATTTTTGTTTACAACATGGAGATATTTTGAAATTAAGATTTTTGTCTTTTTCGCTATCAAGTGGTCTGAAGCAGAGGTGCGATGATTTTAGTTTTTCATTCCTGGTTACGTTTATAGGTAAAGAAACCTGTAATTAAGGATATTTCATTCAATATAGTTAAAAAAATCAATTTGTGCGCTTTCCTATAAACGCGCGTGTAATTTTCACGCGCTATGGCTCCCAAGGGCACCTAGTCTCCGTGCGTGTGGTGGTCTGTCACTTAAGGTAGGCCTCTGCTTGGTCTAATAAATCTGCCAACTATTTTTACCCAACTACTCTAATTTATTGTTCGAGGTCGTTTAAAATAAAAGTTGTACGTGGATATGGTCAAATTGGAATTCGAAAAACCTGTTTTTTTTAACACATTGATCACTTTTGAGCTTTGCTTTAGGACAATTTGGGCCGTTCTTTGTGGCACCGGTGCACTTTGGTCCCAGGACGTATTGGCGGGGTAGCTATTTAACACTCAACTTGGCACGGCATTCGTCAATCAGTTTCCTCTTCACAATCAAGAAGCAGCGCTTGCCATACCCAAAATGCGTGTGAAAAGCTAGTGTGGAATGTGTTTACACATTTCAACCTACGTTCAATACTTTAAATACTACGCATAATGATGAATAATGTTATTCAATGGTATTCGTTGTGCGACAAACTTGGGGTAGTTCGCGCACGTAAGTGAGCTTTTGAAATTAAATAAATATTAGCGGAATTATAATTGCAGTTTGATGTAAAATAAATATACAATAATAATAATAATAATAAGACCCTACATAACTTCACCAGACACAGACACAGACACTAATCGTTACTTGATTTTAATCCGTGCGATTAGTTAACCAGGCTAGACCTGAGTTCTCACAAGAAACACCGACATAATAATAATAATAATAATAATACTCTTTCTTCTCAGAAACACACCACGTTATCACAACCCACTCGTACTCAACCCAAACGCAACAACCTTAACAGCACTACAGGCTCACAAAATACACGACCAATAACCCAAGCAACCACACAAATACAACCTCAAGAACAAGGAAACACAATAAATACAAGTATCGCAACATGCACTACAAAAACAGGTCCACCCAATAAAATTACACGTCTTAGCACAGTTAAAAAACACAATACTCCTCTTTCTCAGAAACAACCCACTCGTATTCAACCGAAACGCAACAACCTTAAAAGCACTACAGGCTCACAAAATACTGTAATGTCTCCACCAATAACCCAAGCAACAACACAGATACAACCTCAAGAACAAAGAAACACCATAAATACAAGTAACGCAACATGCACTACAAAGACAGGTCCAACCAATAAAGTTACACGCCCTAGCACAATTAAAAAACACATAACTCCTTCTTCACCGAAGCACACCACGTTATCACAACCCACTCGTATTCAACCCAAACGCAAAGCCAAAGAAACACTTACACAATAAACTCCATTTAATAAAATTACAGGAATTATTATAATGATTTTTGTTTTGTTTTGTTTTGTTTTCCTCTTTCCTGATAGCGCTGGCTATTGTGCTCTTCAATAGCTATGTTGGTAAGTATGAATTACATACTATCTCTAGCTTTCCAATGTGAGTGTGTGAATTTTTATTTTATTTTATTTTTTTTAGGACCCTACATAACTTCACCAGACACAGACACAGACACTAATCGTTACTTGATTTTAATCCGTGCGATTAGTTAACCAGGCTAGACCTGAGTTCTCACAAGAAACACCGACCATAATAATGATAATAATAATAATAATAATAATAAAATTACAGGAATTATTATAATGATTTTTTTTTGTTTTGTTTTCCTCTTTCCTGATAGCGTTGGCTATTGTGCCCATCAATAGGTATGTTGGTAAGTACGAATTACATTATCCCTAGATGTCCAATGTACGTGTGTGATATTATTATTATTATTATTATTTTTTTTTTAAGGACCCTACATAACTTCACCAGACACAGACACAGACACTAATCGTTACTTGATTTTAATCCGTGCGATTAGTTAACCAGGCTAGACCTGAGTTCTCACAAGAAACACCGACCATAATAATAATACGTTAACACTTACACTAAACGACACAAAACTTATTACTGACCCAATACAAATAAAAAGAGGCATTTTTCAAGGCGATTCTTTAAGTCCGCTTTGGTTTTGTCTTGCTCTTAATCCAC